TGTTGGTCTGCCGCACCCCTGTCGCGGTCGAATCTGGCCCTGAGCCGATGGCTAGCCGGCGTAACGACAGGGGATGCACTGGCAAAGGTGGACATAACAAGATGGCGCCCAAAATAAATACACCTGGGTCTACATTTTAGCAAATGTTGCCCCAGTTCGAAGCAAGTTAAAAGCCAGAGTCTTGTTGTTTGTTTTTTTTGTTGATTTGTATTCTTTATTTAGTGTTTACATGTAAATTTCAACAGCAATAGCTGCTGGCGGCCCCTGAGCCGGCAGGAAACGGTGCAACTGCCAGGTCCGTGGATGAGCTTCACTAGGGCTCAGCCCATCGTTGCCGCAGTTGCATCTTTCTTACAGCGCGGTGTAGGTTGGTAACCAGCAGAATAGGCGCAGCGAAGGAGCGAGTGTAGCAGGTCCGTGAGGGGTCTTGGTGCCCACTCATTGTTGCCCTACAGGGGGTTCCGAGGCTGGAAAGATAGAGAGTAATGTCTGTCAGGTGTTAAGTAAAGAATAGTATAGTTGCCTTATGTTTTTTTTTGGTGTTAGTTACCTTTTTTTTTGTGGTTGTTTGGTAGTTCTTGTGTATGGTTGCGTAGTAGGTCCATGTCCTGTCCCAAGCGGAAAGAGCATCGTTGCCCTACGTAGCAGAGCATGGGAGCAGCAATTCGAAATAGCCCAAGCGAGATTTTAGTTTTGGTAGGCGCCTGGAAGGAATTTGGTGGAATAAAGCGTGCGATAAATATATGTATGTTTGTTTTGGTTGTTTACCTTTTGCAGTGACAGCGCGCCGTGGGGCAGCGTCATACTGAGGATCCTCATCTCACCCTTACATGTCTAGTGTTGAGCCTGTGAGAGTAAAGAAAGATTGTTTTGATTTATGCTATTGTCTGTTAGTGTTAATTACCTTTTATTTATTTATTTGCGTAGCAGCAAATCAATTATCAATAGACAGGGAGTCCATTGTGAATGGTCCCGGTCAAGCACAGCTGTTCCTGGACTGAACCATCGATATTAATAAGTATCGACAGGGTATTTTGGCACAGATTAGCAGGTCTGTGCATAGGGCGGGAATTTGAAGTTCAACTTATCGTTAGTTTGTTTTTTTTTTGAGTAATATTTTCACTTAGTATTTTTTTTGTTAAGTCTTTTGGTATACATTTATTTATTCTCATTTATTTATTCTCATTTATTTGTTCTTATTTATTTATTATTTATTTATTTATTCCTTTTTTTGGTTGTGTGTTTGATGGTATTTCTCTATATATATACATAAGCATTTGATTGGATTAAATATTCCAACGGGTACTTAGCTAAGGATATTATCCCCGCTTATCATTTAAGAAAACACATACATACGAGTGGACCGATCTATTTATTTATTTGGAGTTTGCTCGTTTATAATATAGATATAGATTTTTTTTGATATTATAATCGGCGGGTACGGATCCGAGTACTAGCAGTGGTTTTTTTTTGGGTTTGGATTAACAAGGTACTGAGAAATGAATCTTGACCCGAATGTTACCCGGAAGGTCAGGCGGAGTCAGGAGTTTAGTAGAAATAGGCCATTGGTTCACTTGGACTCTCCTCCTCACGTAGGATTGAGTGAGGCGGGCAAGCCAGCAGAAGCACTCCATGATGACGCATCGCCGCCGAGTGTAAACGAGGCAGCGTTCCGAGGATTTGGGGATGAATTGCCGAACAGTTCCGGAGCAACAGCCGGCGCACGCGCGCATGACTATGGCGGTGAAGAGCAGGGTGGCAGAGCCGAGTCTGCGCTGCCAAGCGAAATTCGGTCAGCGATCAACGTGGCATTAGCACAGGCCCACGAGACGTATCGCGCATCGTTGTCGTCAGAAGTAGAGGCCATTCGAGAGACGATGCAGGCCAGCATGCTGTCGTTCATGCGCGAGATTAATGAGGCAGTGGCAGCGCTGAGGCAGGAGAAAACGCATAGCGCGCCTCCGTCTGTAGCACAGGCGCCGGTGGGCAGGCCAGAGCGAGCTCACGCGCAAATGCAGCGGCCAGCCTTAGGCGGGTACGAGCCGGCAGAGAAAGAAAGAGATTTTGTAAGTAGTAGACCAGCAGCTGCAGCACCGACTCACCTGTTCGTCGACAACCGAATTTTAGAGGCAGAACAGCGGGCACATGTGGAGCAGCGGCAGTTCTCAGCCGATCCGTGGATGCGCGATTTGGGCCCTGACGTGCACAGGCCATTAAGGCGAACCACGATGGGAGACTCCCGGCCCGACGTCGTCCACATCAGAAAGTGGGGCCTTGTATTTGATGGCGAAACCAAAGGAATGCCGGTGGCAGAGTTTATATTTCGATTGGAGCATTTGCAGTCCTTGTATCAGGTGCCCTGGGCCGACGTGTTGCGAGACTTCCACTGCCTGGTGAACGGAAGAGCGAAAGATTGGTATTGGATGTACATACGTACCTCGGGCGTGCCGGACTGGCCGAATCTCCGATATGGGCTGCAGCAGCAATTTCAGACTCGAAGATCGGAGTTTGAACGAGAGCAGGAGCTGAGGGAGCGGAAGCAGCGGCATGGCGAGAGCATAGAAGAGTATATTCAGGCGATGCTGGTGTTGCGTTCTCGGTTGGTGTGTCCATTTTCGGATTATGACCTTATTAAGGTGATAAAGACAAATATTAAAGACACCGTGTCTAGGGTCATCTATCCGATGAATATAACGAATCTGCAGAAGCTGAGAGAGGAGTGCCAAGACGCCGAAAAGATGCTGGCAACGCGTTGGGCGCGGCCCTCAGCCAGTACCAACTACGGGCAGCAGCGAGAGCAGCATCGAGTACACGAGCTGGACGTGGTAGCAGAAGGTACAGAAGGCGGCCAACTGGAGCATTTGGAGGCGGTATATAGGCCACATGAAACTAGTGGGAGCCGCTCGAATCTCAAGTGTTGGAATTGTGCACAACCAGGGCATACATATTTCGATTGCGAGTCTGCGGTGCGCAATATGTTTTGCTTCAAATGCGGACAACCAGGCGTGGTGCTGCCAAGATGTCCGAAATGCCGTCCGGGAAACTCGGAGAGGAGTCCGACGCAGCCGGAGGAGTCGCACTCTCGGTAGACGGTGAAACGCGTACCTCCGATGAAACAGTAGTTAGGATAGGAATTAGTAGCGATAAGGATAGTACCGTTAGTCATATTTACTCACAGATATATAAAGTCAACCAGGCAGTCCCACCGAAGAAAGTATGGTCGCAGCGGAAACCCTTGGAGCAGCGTCAGCGCGACTATGAAGTAGCCAGGAACCGCATATTTGGTAGCCAGCACGAACCGGATGCGAGAGGGGCGTCGAAGACATCCTTGCGGGCGCGTAGGAGACACCGCGAACGCCGACAGAAACGCCAGGCGGTGTGTGCCGCGGTGAATTCTGCATGTCGTTCCGACAGCCGCCCATATGCTACGGTAGCGATTGAAGGCAGAGAATTTACCGGTCTGTTGGATACCGGGGCGTCGGTGAGCTTGCTGGGAAGTGGTGCCATAGAGTCGGTCCGCAAACTAGGTTTGGTGGTACGCGAAAACAAATCCGCGGTAAGGACAGCCGGCGCCGCGCCACATTGCATTATTGGCAGCGTGATGGCGCGCGTTAGGTATAACGGAACAGAGTCGGAAATGGTATTCCACGTTTGCCCGTCGTTGTGCCAACCGCTTTATCTGGGCGTGGATTTTTGGCGCAGGTTCGGTTTGGCTCCGAATGTGATCCCGGCTGTGGACGAAGGACAGCACGTGGCTGAGTTGGAGGAGGAGCGCTTAGGAAAGAGTACACCAACGGAGCCACACGATTTAGAGGCGTGGCAACAGGAGAAGTTACAGCGAGTCGTGGCCCAATTCAGATCCTTCGAGGAGCACGGTCTGGGTAGGACGCCAGTGGAGCAGCACCACATTCAGTTGACGGAGGGGGCACTGCCAGGGAAAGAGCGTTTTTATCCTGTGTCGCCGGCAGTGCAGGCGCTATTGTTTGCAGAAGTCGACGAGATGCTTCGGCTAGGGGTTATCGAGCCAAGTGAGAGTCCATGGAGCAACCGAGTGACTTTGGTGAGGAAGCCTGGAAAGAACCGGTTGTGCTTAGACGCGAGAAAGCTAAATCAGCTCACGGTGAAGGATGCTTACCCACTCCAGAGCATTGAGTCGATCTTGAGCCGAGTGGAGGATACCATTTACATCAGCAGCCTGGATCTAAAGCATGCTTTTTGGCAGATCGAACTGGATCAGGAAAGCCGGCAGTACACCGCGTTTACGGTACCAGGAAGGCCACTGTATCAATTTAAGGCCATGCCGTTCGGGTTGTGCAATGCGGCGCAGCGCCTTTGCCGGGTGATGGATAAGGTGATTCCCCAGCGTTTGAGAAGCCATGTATTCGTCTACCTGGACGACCTTCTCATAATATCCAGAACGTTTGAGGATCATTGCAAGGTGCTGTTGGACGTGGCAAGTGCTTTGAAAGTAGCCAATTTGACGATTTCCTTAAAAAAATCCAAGTTCTGCTACAAGTACTTGAAGTATCTGGGGTTTGTGGTTGGCGATGGTGCGTTGCGGACGGATCCAGAGAAGGTCGAGGCGATTCGGGCGATTTCCTTGCCGACCAGCGCAAAGCAGCTCCGCCGATTCTTTGGGACCGCTGGCTGGTATAGGCGTTTCATTCGGAATTTTTCCACGATTTCCGCGCCGTTAACGGAGTGCCTGAAAGGGAAGGGAAAGTTCCAATTATCGGGCGAAGCGGTTGCGGCATTTCAGGAGTTGAAAGGGGCACTCACCTGCGCGCCAGTGTTGGTGCATCAAGACTTTCGGAAGCCGTTCGTGATCCAATGTGACGCGAGCCAAGCGGGCATAGGAGCGGTTTTGTTCCAACTCGATGCAGACGGGGCCGAAAGGCCGATAGCTTTTTTTCAGCGAAGCTTCGGGGCGCTCAGCTGAACTATAGTGTCACCGAGAAGGAATGCCTGGCTGCAGTAAAAGCGGTCGAAAGATTCCGGCCGTACGTTGAGTTGATGCCGTTTAAGGTGGTGACTGATCACGCCAGCCTGCGGTGGCTGATGTCATTGAAGGAGTTGGACGGTCGATTAGCGCGGTGGTCGTTGGCCCTGCAGAGGTTCGACTTTAATATTGAGCATCGGAAAGGCAAGGAAAATATTGTAGCCGATACCCTCTCACGGCCTTTCGAACTGGAGGAAGTTGATTTTTTTGATTTCGAGACAACCGAGTTCGAAGGTGCGGAGTATACCGAGCGGCTGAAGCAAGTGCGGGAGAACGCGGAGCTATTTCCGGATTTACGCGTGGAGGATGGGCTGTTGTATAAGCGGGCGCAGTTCACGCGGCCCGAGCGAGAGGAATTTTCCTGGAAGCTCTGGGTACCGCGTCCTGTGTCCGCAGCCCTTATACAGCAGGCCCATGAGAGCGACGCGGCTATGCATGGGGGCATGAAGAGGACCATAGAACGGCTCAGGCAGTTTTTTTTCTGGCCCGGGATGGTGGCACAGGTGAGGAGGTACGTTGCCGGCTGTGAAACGTGCAAAGCAACAAAACACAGCACGCAATTAGCGAGGCCGGTAATGGGCGCCGAAACCGTATCGCTCCGACCAATGCAGAGGCTGTATCTGGATTTTCTGGGGCCGTATCCGAGGTCCAGGAGAGGGAATACCACCATTCTGGTTGTTCTTGACCATCTGTCCAAATTCGTGTGGTTGCGAGCGATGCCAAAAGCAACAGCGGCGGCAGTGGTCCGGTTTCTGCAGGAGGAGGTTTTTTCGGCATTTGGTGTCCCAGAAACCGTCCATACCGACAACGGTAAGCAATTTGTGGCCAGCCAATTTACGGGGTTCCTGCAGGGGCTGAGCATCACTCACATACGCACGGCGAACTATGCCCCACAGGCGAATGCGGCGGAACGCGTGAACCAGACGGTGTTAGCGGCCATCAGGACATATGTACAGGGCGACCACACGAAGTGGGACGAGAAGCTCTCGGACGTGCAGTGTGCAGCACGCAGTGCTATCCATGGCAGCATCGGCACGTCCCCGTATTTCGTTTTGTTTGGGCAGCACATGTTCACCAGCGGGAAGGACTACAAGCTGGCACGCAAGTTGGGGGCGCTGGAGGATGCGGAATTGCGCATGTTGCCCAGATCGGATCAGCAGAAGGCAGTGCGGGATGAGGTACAGCAGAGTGTCCACCTGGCGTATGAAAAGGCGAAACGGCAATACGATAAGCGTGCGAGGATGGTAGCGTACGTACCTGGCCAAGAGATTTACAGGCGAAACTTTGTCCTCAGTCGTTTTAAGGACAACGTGAACACGAAGCTGTGCCACAAGTATGTGAAATGCCGTGTCCGGAGCAGCGTGGGCAACAGCCTGTACGAGTTGGAGGACATGCACGGGCGTCGGTTGGGAGTCTTCCACGCCAAAGATTTAAAGCAATAGCTAAGGCCCGGCTTTGTTCATCGGTAGACCAAGAGACCCATCTCGGGGTGTGGGCGGTGGCCTACGTTGGGCAGAGAAAGAACCGCGGCGCTTCTCACTCCCGTTTCTTTCGTTTGACACCAGAATAAAACCGGAGTGTGGTGTTATGTGCGGCGCGGCAGTATTGGGAAACCACAAATGTCGTCGGACAAAAGGAGTGGCAACTCGCGCGATTGACAGCTGGAGCGGGCCGATAACAAATACTCGTGCGTGAGGGGTGAGGACCAGTGCTACCAATTAGGAGGGTTGCAAAGTGGGTAAAGTAGCAATTCCGGGGGAATGGCAAGTCGTGGCCTCAGAGAAGAAGAAAATCAATTGTGGACAGTGAGCGAGACACACGTGCTATTGCGGGAAAAAAAACAAAAAAAGGGGACAAAATAAGCGGAAGAGAAGATTCAAACACCGGAGTGATGACAGGAGGGTTGGGATATACACCAGCGAGGCTTCATAGGCAGAGGAGTAGCAGTAACTGCGGGCGTTCTGGGAAGTGCGCTGTGCGCGGGTCAGCACCGACCGGCAGTACTGGGTCTTAGGCAGGACCTCGGCCCTAGCGGAAGTCAGGCCAATTTCCATGCACCTGGAAGTCTGGGCTAAGTACCCTTCAACATTAAAATATTACATACGTACCTTCAATATACATATCAAACATGCAGAACCAAAATTTTATATACACCCTACATACATATACATAGCCATCTCACATACACCAGTGCAGCATATAACACAAAATTCAACTAAATACTCACACATATTCCGCTCAAACATAGAACACAAAATTTTATATACACCACACACTCCTTTATATACACTCCATACATGTTCACATACACCATATTCAAACACACACCGAATTTCCATAGCACTCAGACTCACATTCATCCCATAGCCACATAATATAAAATACAAAACAAAAACAACACCCAAACATTTAACCATATTGTAACACACACACGCCCATAGCCACATAATATAAAATACAAAACAAAAACAACACCCAAACATTTAACCATATTGTAACACACACACGCCCATAGCCACATAATGTAAAATACAAAACAAAAATAACACCCAAACATTTAACCATATTGTAATACACACACGCTCATAGCCCCAATACAAACAGTTTATATACGTACATACACCCCTAATCAAAAAAAAAAAAAAAAAAAAAAAAAAAAAACACATGCGTTAACTTTTAAAATACACCAACCAACACCAATGTAACATTCGTGGCATATGATCCTAAATTCTTAAAAACAGAGAAAAAAAGTATTGTTAAGTAGTTCTTAAGACAATGTTATTTGTAGAAGATTTTGTTAAAATGTTTTGTTAGGTAAACCTTGTGTTACAAAAAGTCAAATGTAATAAATATCTGTAAGTGAACATGAGTCTGGAGTAGAGTCCATTTGTAGGGTGAGATGGGGTGACAACAGTCACTGAGCAAAAAGGGAAAACACCAAAACAAGCTTGTAAAAGGGAGCCGGCAACAAAATGCCAAGACCGGCTCAAGGTAGGGAGGGCCACGCGGCTATATGAAACCGAAATAGCCACACCACCAAATTACCCAGGTGTCCATGACAGTGGGCCGTAAGAGCAGGTGTTGATAAGTAAAAATATAAATTTATTGTTGGTCTGCCGCACCCCTGTCGCGGTCGAATCTGGCCCTGAGCCGATGGCTAGCCGGCGTAACGACAGGGGATGCACTGGCAAAGGTGGACATAACAAGATATAGAACTATATACATATGCAGTTACATTTTTTTCATTTTTTTATTTTTTACAAATTTGCCTGTTTTTGACCGGAATTGTGACGTTCAAGCGGACATCTATCGCTACAAGTACTAGGACTATGTGTGTGTGTGTTTTATAATATTGTTAATTGTTTGGTGTTGCGTTTCTGTTTTGTGGCTATAATGCTAATTGGTCTATGGTATAAATATAATTTTTTGTGTTGCATGTTTTAATTAGGGTAGGTGAATGGATTTTGCATATATGTGAGGAATGTATATAATTTTTGTGTGGTATGTTTGAATTGGATGTATGTGAATATTTATGGAGTGTGTGGTGTACATAATTTTTGTGTTGTATGTTTGAATGGAATATGTATATGTGTAGGTATGTATATAAGTTTTGTGTATTAGGGCTACTTAGCCCAGCATGCGCCTCTCTCGTCCAGCACGCAGTCCCTCCGGTGCTACCCCGTCACAACGTTGGCAGCTTCACACCTGCTGTGCCGACGTCCCCACACTATTTGCCCTAGCCTGGTGGACTGGTCTGTCTTCGCGCCCTGCCTTTTATCCTTAGCGTGTACGGCCTCAAATCGGCTGAGGGCAAAATTGCGCCTGTATTCTTCTTGGCCAGGTACGTACTTAATTATTTTCGCTCTCGTCTGCGAGCTTCTCGTCCCACTTCATGTGATCCTCTGGCACATACGTTCTGATGGCCGCCAACACAGACTGGTTCACGCACTCTGCTGCATTCGCCTGCGGGGAGTAGTTCGCCTTGCGTACATGGGTGGCGCTCAGCCTCTGCAGGAACATAGTAAACTGGCTGGCCACAAACTGCTTTCTATTGTCCGTATGGATGGTTTCAGGGGCTCCAAATGCAGAAAACATCTCCTCTTGCAGAAACCGGATCACCGGCTTTTGGCATTGTTCGTAGCCACACAAATTTGGACATGTGGTGCAGAACTATCAGAATGGTAGTGTTTCCTTTCCTGGACCTCGGATACGGCACCTATTACTGGCCTATTTTTTCCTGCGCCACCATCTCGGGCCAGAATAAAAACAGTCTGAGCCATTCCAATTTTCACTTCATTCCCCCATGCATGGCTGCGTCGCTCTCATGGGCCTGCTGTACAAGGGCTGCGGACACAGGACGCGGTACCCAAAGCTTCCACGAAAATTCCTCTCGCTCTGGCCTCGTGAGCTGCGCCCTCTTATACAGCAGCCCATCCTCCACGCGCAAATCTGGAATTTGTTCTGCATTCTCCTGCACTCGCTTCAGCCGCTGCGTGTATTCCGCGCTTCCGAACTCGGTCGACTCGAAATCAAAAAAGTCAATCTCCTCGAGCTCGAAAGCCCGCGAGAATGTATCGGCTACAATATTGTCTCTGCCTTTCCGATGTTCAATACTAAAGTCAAATCTTTGCTAGGCCAAGGACCACCACGCCAACCTGCCGTCCACCACCTTTAAGGACATGAGCCACCGTAGGCTGGTGTGATCAGTCACAATCTTAAACTGAATTAATTCCACATACGGCCGGAATCTCTCGACTGCTTTCACCCCAGCCAGGCACTCCTTCTCGGTGACGCTGTAGTTTAGTTGAGCGCCCCGAAGTTTCGCTGAAAAGAAGGTGTATAAGCATAAGCTTTTTTATGATTCCAAATATGCGAAATTATGTTGGCGAAATAATTGCAAAATAAGCGAAAACGAAAGTGTTCAATTTAAAAGAGGTTCACAAATGTTTACTTTGCATAGGTAGCGATCACCGGCTACGATTTTGTGTGTTTTGCGCGATTTACAAGGTTTATGCTGGTAGACGGAAAGCTAAGCTTCTCCGTACCAAATGCGATAACGAAAACGAAACTTCACTTGCAGAGTTAGCGACAATAACTAGTACATATGTGGCGGCTGCACAGCAGTCTATGCAAATTTATAGCAAGCAACATAAGGAAACGTTAAGTGCTCAGCTTGCTATACAAAGCAAGTGACAAGAAAACGAGCACTTTGTATTGAGTTATTTACGTTACTTATTAACTATGATGTGCGGCAGGTTTTGGCTGTTTTTGGCCGGATGACCAAACATACTCCCCCTGTTAGAGACCCAGGGTCTTCAACAACATCTTGTTTCGGCAGCGGGCATAATTTTCGAACGGCTCGTCGAATGGTTCCAGTGGCAGTCCTCAATTCTGCAACTCTCGACACGCCATCTGCGCCGCTGATGAGGCTGACCACCCCTGCTAATGACCATTTGAGGGGCGGCAAATTCTCCTCCTTGGCCAGAACGACATCATCAACGGAGAGTCCAGGCTGCGACACTCGCCATTTTGAGCGCTGTTGAAGAAGCGTCAAGTATTCTTCTCGCCAGCGAGCCAAAAATATCTGCTGGTAGTATGTCACGCACTGCCATCGATCCAGCCGATTGAAGTTGAGCTTCATCAGATCAGGCTCAACGTACGTTGACAGCGGAGCAGCACCAAGAAAATGAGCTGGAGTCAAGACATCGAGATCTGCTGGATGTTCTGAAAGGGATAACAATGGG